ATGCGTGCACCACTACAGATTGTTATCTTTGAGCAATAAAAATACTCCTCAATGGTAATTCTATTCATTGGAATAATAATCCCTATCCATAATTATTAAAAGTATTGCTGATTTAATTAGATCATAACTGTCGACAGCCATTTTCTCAAGAAATGTATAAACCTCCAATGGATCCTTTTCAGTTTCGATCTGGGGCTCGCTAAGCAAAGGTTTTTGTTATTGGAGATGGTACCTTTTCAGTTCATTGTCACATTTACTTTGCTTATCAATCTCCACTAACAAAGACCTCTGCTTGGGAAGGGCCCATCTCAACTGAAAAGTATCTGTTTAATCGTTGTTTACCTCTTGAGCAAAAGTTGACTGCTATGATCTAATTAATGCAATAATAATTTTAATAACAAGTCATGATATGGTGTCAGGTTATAACTGACAAAAATAGATCATATGGTCAATCTCTTAATAAGTAAACACTTGAAATTTGCAGTTTATGATGCCTTACTTAAATCACAGTTTTTTATTCTTTATCTCACTGAAGGAGTAAAGAAACTAAAGGAGTCCTTTACAATGAAGAGAACAGATTACAAATATTTTTACTTTCACTTACCTATATATGTAATGTATAGTAAGGGGAAAGTATTGCGATCGGGAAAATTCTCAAATCTGTTTGGTGGTCGCCTATTATGTTTTCATAATACGGATATATTCGCAGAATATTAGTCATTATTTTATAGGTGACCGGAAAAAGTGCTATGCCTCTGTAATTGCCACATTCATACGTGGAGCCCTTCTTAAGGATATGACATCAACCCTGTGTTCCATGCTTCTGGTATCCGTTTCTTCTCCCATATCTTCTGGATTAGATCTAACAGCTTGGCTCTGAGTTCTTCTCCACCATCCTTGAACAATTCTGATAGTAGGTTGTCTATTCCTGGAGCCTTTCTGCTTTTAAGTCTGCCGATAGCTATTTCCACATCCAGAATATCTGGATATCTGGTTTTTCAACTTCAAGTGGGTCGATGTCCTCAGTGTGGTCCATGTTTTCTTCATTTGTGGGGTGCCCTTGATTAAGCAGCTGCTTGAAGTGTTCCTTCCAGATGCTTAGAATCTTTTCTTTTGATGCCGTCAATTTGCTGTCTTTTCCTCGCATTTGTGTATTTCTCACTTTATATCCTACCCTTTCTTTGAAGAATTGAAGATAATAAAGAATTGAAGATATATGCGACTATATATGTATATATATATATATATATATATATATACACACCTGAATCTACCGAGAATCCATTATTTTCTTTATGAGCTTAAATGTTGTATTAAGTATTAATGAGAATTGAATTTTCTGTTGTTTTTACTGTCGACAACTTCCTTCGATAGTAATATCCTTATATAACTTTTTATGTAATATTATTCTAAGTATCGGACCATTTAGTGAACCAGTGGCATACGATGATTTCCATTATTGCATCATCAAATTATCGACCCCGATTTCTCTTTAAATAATCTAAACTATGTGGAATTCTAATTACCTTTGTTAGGAGGGTATTTAAGTGTCTTTCTCATGAGACCCTAAAATTGTTGGATGCATTACTTAATATTTCAGGTTTGCTTATCATGAAGAAAATCAAACTTATTCCTTTTGTAAGCTATGATACTAATAAATTTGACTTTGAATTCAGTGAACTTTCCTGTTTGCTTTTTCTTGTTTACCTGCTTGCTCTAGAATGCCTGCTGATAAAAGCCATATCTTATTATGTGAAACTCATATAACTACCCTTCACTTGACTGTGGTATTTTGATAAATACTTACTACTTTCTGTTTAGTCCACTTGAGTTTTCTTCTCCTGTCTGTTATCTACTTATCTTCTCTCTTAAGACCTATTCCATTTCTGATTCTCTTTGACCCCACAGCTAATTGTCTCAGTTCATGTTGTAAAATATTTATTGAATCCAGCACACAATTGTGTTATCTGTTCCAGACATCCCATTAGTTCCCTTTGTTACTCTCCTCTACTTTACCTCAACCACCCCATCTATTTCCTCCTGACAGTCAAAAATCTAGGAGTAACCTTTGATCAGAACCTGTCCTGGAATATCCATATCTCTCAGATTACCTGGAAATTCATACCTCTCCTTAAACAACTCACAAGATTCCTATTTCTATTCCTAAAAAAACACCAGATAGCTCCTTGTAACATCCGCCATTTTTCCCTCTTCAACTATGGTTGCTTGGCGTACGGAGGGCTGTCTGCAAGACTTGTGATGAGATTGAAGAAATTCATGAACTGTTTCAAAAGATTCATCTTTGGGATTCCCAGGCATCCTCATGTTTACTGCTGGTACACCGAATTGAAGTGGCTCTATCCTCATCCCGACCACAGTTCTTTCTTGGTGTTATCCTTTTCCAAGTTCTAAGAACCATAAATCCTCCCTACATCCTTGAACTCCTTAATCTACATCCCTTTATCCACTCTTTTAATACCAGAGCTCTACTTATTGATTATGTATCCCTTCCTGTAAACTATTTCCTTCAGAAAATCCTTCTTCATTCGTGCTACCTCATCTAGGAATTCTTTACCTATCTCCATATGTCAATTCTCATCCACAAATTCCTTCAAACAACTCCTATTCCACCACCTGCTTCACTTTCAAACTTCCAAATTTATTAAGATCTGTAAATACAATTGCCCATTAACAATTAATCTATAAGTGGCATTGGATTATATTTTTTTTTATGTGCTTCTGTATCTATGTAAACCATTTAAAATTTACTTGTGTTACTTTGCATAAAGTAGTTTGGTTTTCAAACCAAATCTGCTCTATCTATGTTGAAACTTAGGCTTCTCTAAAACTTAAATGATTTTCCTTGTTAGGGTTGTGGTGTTATGACTGTATCCATTTTTTCAAAAATTAATAATGACATCTAATTGTATGAGTTACAATAAAACCACTGCTATTTTATAAGTGACACTATGGTCTCTCATCATATGCATAAACTGAATAAAAAAAAACCTTTTCCACAGGCAATGTTTAAAATTAACCCAATTCATTTATCAATTATGGTATGGCACATTGCCATGACTAAACATAGGGCAACAGATGATGTGGGGCATGACTGAAATGTCTGGATGTACTGATTGTTCCTCATCTTTGCTTTAACTATCCTTCTCTGAATGCTAGCGGTTTCAAAAATATTTTAATGAAAAAAAAAAGTACTTTTAATGAAAGCTGAGAATTTCAGTTCATATTGTTTTATTATTAATTATCTTATTACCATAGAGGTAACCAAATTTGATACTTTAGCTTTACAAATAAATTTAGTTGTTATTTAAATATATCCCTGAACAGTGAGGAATTTTTTAGATTTTCCATAAAAAATTGAAATTAATAAATCTTGCACATTTAAATTTAATTCTTATTATTTTTTTTTCAGATTTATTATTGATTACCTCAGCCTGTAAACATATATCAATGGGTGCTTTGAGCAGTAGCTTAAATCAAGATCTATCTCAAAATGGTTTATTGCTAAAGTTTGTTGGAAAAGACCATATTCCCTTACAAGATGCATTTTGGAATGATTTATTGTCTTTTCCATATAAACCATTGACAGTGTAAAAACATATTATTAGTTTTATTTATGCTGATTTAATCTTTTATATATTTATATTTTAATCATAATCAGAGACCGGATTTTCATGTTATTGCACATTTCGCTTAGGTGTAAAAATTTCAAACCCGACAGTCTATCCGTTTCATGATCTGTAAAATAGCATATTGAAATTTCATTTTGTATGAACTGGCACGTTTTGGCTTTTTTTGGCTTAATTGCATGTTTTTGGTTTTTGTTGTATGATATTGCATATTTTGCAATTTAAGAGCTAAATCTCAATTTTAATAGTATTAAGTAAAATACTTGAACCAAATTTTCACTATAACATGCATGTACATAGATATTTATCTAAATATTTATTTACATTTATGATATATTATGTTAGGTTTGTAGTTGAGAACAGCGGTATCCAACCCATGGAAGGCATAATGCCAGAAATAGTTTTTAATTTTTTGTTCTTGGTTTTGTTTTCAATATAACATTTTCAAGTTATCTTTCTGGAATCCAAACATATTTTAGACTCTTATTGTTTGATAGGGGTAACAAAGTTACTATCCAAGTACACATATTTAATTTAATGCAAGTGAATATAGTCACTTGCATAGCCCCTTATCCCCTTAGTTCTGTTATTTGCTGTTCCAAAACATATTTATTATTTATTTTGTGTATATTTATTTTCCAGTTTTCAAACAAACAAGTGTGAAAGTATTTGTTAACAAATGTTTTATTGCCGCTTGGCTGAATGTTCTTTGATAAAACACCGCCGGGTTACGCAAAGGACTATGGATTTTAATAAAAGCTAAGGAGTTTAACTCAAAATCTACTTTTAAAAAAATTTAAATTGATATATATCTGTAAAATTAAGCCTCAATTAAAAAGATGCACCTTTATTAAAAGTATTTGATTAATTTTTTGTACGCTGTTTTTTCTTTCATATAGAATTAGGTTAATTGTCATTCATTTTAAATTAGAATTAGATTTTTCTCACATTACTACACGTTATAGCTAACTTCAATTTAGTGTCTATAATCCTTAACATAAGAGTAAACAAGCATTAATATTATAAATTAAACAAAAACTATGATTTTGCTTGTTATGTATACAATTTTACGAGTTTTTGTAAAGTTACATTACAATTACACTTTTGAGTTTTATATTGCACGTTTTTCAGTTTTTTACTGCATAAAAATCTGGTCTCTAATCATAACATATAAATGTACAATAGCAATCGTAATGTAAGACTTGATGTATACAGCGTTTCATTACTTTTTTAATATTAGAGTGTCAGAATCATTATTTGCCTTAATTGGATCTTAGATATTTTCTATTATTATTTTATAACTTTGTCATTCATTCGTTTAAAGTGTCAATACAAGTTTATTCGGTTTTCATTTTTAACTTTCTTTATTTAATTGTCTTCATTTCTTTACATTCTTATACTCTTTTGTTTTTTATCAGTAGATTTAAATAATGACAAAGTTAAAATAAGATCTGTGATCAATTTTCTTAAAGCTAACGATTTGTTAAACAAAATTTAAATTTTATTTAATTTTTTTACTTAATAATTTATTATTGAAATGAAGATTAGATAGACATTGATGACCTCAAGGTTTTTTTACCTCTAAGCCCAAAATAACAACAACAATAACTCTTGTGTTTGACTACAGTAATAAGTAATTAATTATTTTTAAGTTAGAAAAAAAAAATTTACATGAGTATTTATTTTATTACAGGGAAGATGACAAAAAGCTCTTTGAAAAGAATAAATTTTTATTTAATCATTTAGCTATTAACAACTTAAAAACTGGAAATTTCGGCACACTTTTAAGGATATTTTTGAAAAAATCTAGTTATTTACTTCAATCTTCAAATAATGCAATGTGAGTAAATAACTTTAAACTAGTTGATTTTAGTTGCTCCTGTTAGTGATTATTAAATATGGTTTATTATTAATATATATATATATATATATATAATGATGTGGATATGGTTGACCGTGATTATAATTTGAGAAGGAGTTGGTCGGGGGTGCGATAAAATTAAATACTATATTATTTAATAGTATTTTTAGTATTTAGTATTTTATTGGTTATAATGACATTTCGACCAACTTTGTAGGTCTTCATCAGGGCTACAAAAGATACAAAGTAAAAATAAAATAAATGAATTATTAGTACATATTAAATAAGTAACAGTTGTATGATAAAGAAATGAAAGTGGATTTTTTGATCTAAGATTAAGTCTGGAACTGCGGTGTATCGGTGGGGGGTTGGTTTCTTGTTATTGGCCGATAATTTATGACAAGTGTTAACATGTATCAACATTACAAACATTTTAAAGAGGCATAATACAAAACTTAAAAATGAATAGTTTTGTTACTACTAATAATTACTTTTACTCTTTTTTATTTTCTATCTACGACATCCTGATAAAAGAACTATCATCAATGTTCCATCGTCGAAGAACAAAGGAAAAAAGTTCTTATTATTTTTTTTTTTTTGGTTGGTTGTAGTGAATAATTGAAGAGAAGAATGGTTTGGGTGATCAGTAAAAAAAATTTTAAAATAAATAAGTATATTTATTTTCAATTTCAACAATTTCATTTTACTTTATATTTATCTCCTCGCGCGGGCTCATTACCGCGTATGGGGAGCGTCCCACGGGTGGCGGATGTGGGGATGGTCGGTGGAAATTTCTTGGAAGTTCCTCCCGGCTAAGTCCGATGGACTCGCTGACCAACAATGAGAGGGGCCCTCCAGACTTGCTGGAGGGAGGGGACCTCCAGACTTGCTGGAGGTAGGGGCCCACCAGACTTGCTGGAGGGTGTGACGTAGGATTGAACGCCCTACTCACATATCTTTAGTTCACCAAACACCACAAATAGTCATGGATCTCCCTAAGGTAAAACGCTCATTATCCGGAAGTAAACTAGTCCCCCGTTCGGGTCTCCGGGTGGGGACTGCTTTAGGGGATTCATGGCGCAAGTTGAAATATAGGGATTTAAATATTGGTACGTGGAACGTAAGGAGTTTAAACACAGCAGGGGGGCTAAAATCGGTCGCGAATGAGGTAAATGGGTACAATTTGGATGTCGTGGCTCTGCAAGAGGTTCGCTGGCCAGGGGAGGGCTCGATGAGGGAAGGGAAGTACACTATTTGGTACGGAGGAAGCGAGAATCATTGTTTAGGTACCGGGTTTCTAATTAGGCGTAGATTACTATCCGCTTTGAGGGACGTACAATTCTTTAGTGATAGAATTTCGGTAGCTACATTTCAGGGACGTTGGTTTAAAATCGCATTAATAAACATACATTGTCCGACCGAAGACAGTGACGATGAAGTCAAAAGTGAATTTTACGATAAACTCGAATGGGTTTATGATAAACTACCACGAAACCACATGAAAATAATTGTAGGTGACGCGAACGCAAAGGTAGGAAGGGAAGAAGTTTATATTCCGACGATTGGTAAAGAAAGTTTGCACGAATATAGTAATGATAATGGGATCCGTCTGATAAACTTTGCCATCTCGAAAAACCTGATAATTAAAAGTACGACGTTTAAACATAAGGATATTCATAAATATACTTGGACATCACCGGATTCGCAAACACGAAATCAAATCGATCATGTCTTGATACAACACAGCTGGCAAAGCAGTATAATTAATGTACGGTCTTATCGCGGAGCAGAATGTGGGTCGGATCATGAATTAGTAATCGCGAAACTTCGACAAAAACTTAATATAAAAAAGAGAAAAGAAAACCGTTTCGATTTTGAGAATTTTAATTTGGAAAAATTAAAAAATCCATCAATTAGAAACCAATTCGAGCTAGATGTTAAGAATAGGTTTGAAGCTTTAGAGCTTCCTGACGAGGACCACGAGGATATTGACAAGTTATGGATAGAGATCAGAGATAATATTAAAGCGGTCGGTAACTCGTGTCTAGGAAAAAAGGAAAATAAGAATAACAAACCGTGGTTTGATGAAGATTGCTTAAACATGTGTGAAAAAAGAAAAGCCGCTAAATTAAAAGCTCTAAATAATCCTAGCGAAGACAATCTGGAATACTTCCGAATCTCAAAGAACGAAACGACAAAATTGCTCAAAAATAAAAAAAGGGAGTATCTTAAAAATAAAATAATTGAAATAGAAACTAATAGAATCGAAAATAACGTAAGAGACATGTACAAAGGTATAAACAGATCACGTAAATATGTAGGGCCCGTAACGTCTGGAATTAGGGATGATAATAACAATATTCTGACCGATCCGGTTGACATATTGAATAAGTTTAAGGACCACTTTGACAATATTTTAAATACGGGAAATTATGATCTGTGTCCTCCTTCTGAGTACCAGAGTGCTGAACCGTTAATAGAAGGACCAAGTAAAGAGGAAGTTGAAGTAGCTATCGGAAAATTAAAATCATATAAAGCAGCGGGAATCGATAATATTCCTACTGAACTAATTAAGGCATGCGGAGAAGCTGGAGTTTCTAAAATACATCGGTTGGTTAAAAAGATCTGGGTGAACGAGAAATTACCTGAAGAATGGAAAGAATCTATTCTTATTCCGATTCACAAAAAGGGTCCGAGGACGGATTGTAATAACTATCGAGGAATTTCACTCCTTCCGGTGTGTTATAAAATATTCACTTTAATCTTAACCAGTCGAATCACGGAATACGCCGAGGAAATTATCGGAGACTACCAATGCGGATTTAGACGGAATCGTTCGACTATTGATCAAATATTTTCTTTACGGCAAATATTAGAGAAAAAATTGGAGTATAACGGTATTGTTCACCAGCTGTATATAGATTTTAAAAAGGCTTACGATTCTATTGACCGCCAGAAACTGTATAATATTCTAATCGAGCAGGGGATTCCAAAAAAACTAGTAAATCTAGTCAGGATGTGCTTGACGGAGACACTCAATAAAGTTAGAATCGGTAATAATTTGTCCGAAAAATTTGAGGTTCGTTCGGGCTTAAAACAGGGGGATTCCCTTTCGCCTGTCCTGTTCAATTTGGCATTAGAACATGCCATTAGGGAGGTAATGCGAACCGAGAAAGGGTTGGATCTGGGCGGGACAACATCCGTGCTGGGCTATGCTGATGATCTGGTACTGTTAAGCGAAGACGTTGAAACTATAAAACTAAATACGACAACGTTAATGAAAGCCGGGAAAGAACTAGGACTCGAAATAAACGTGGATAAAACAAAATATATGGTTAGCTGCAAAAATGGCGATACTACTGGTGATATCGATATAGATGGTAATATGTTTGAACAGGTAGATAAATTTAGGTATCTAGGTTCTACGATTACTAGAAAAAACGAAATTGAAGAAGAGATTAAGGTTAGACTGAAGGCGGGGAATGCTTGTTATTTTTCTGTGACAAAACTACTTAGTTCGCGCCTCTTGTCCCGAAACTTAAAAATTAGAATCTATAAAACAATTATCTTACCTACAGTTCTTTATGGATGCGAAACTTGGCCGCTTACATTAAGGGATGAGCAGCGTCTTAAGGTTTTTGAAAATAAAGTATTGCGTAGAATATTCGGACCGAAAAAGGATGAGTTAACCGGAGAGTTCAGACGGTTACACAACGCCGAATTGCGTGAGATGTATCCGGGTAATATAATTGAGGTAATTTCATCGCGGCGAATCAAATGGGCTTGTAAAGTTGTTGGGCTTAGTAACGAGAGAATTCCTAAAAGGTTAATGTTTGCTGTGCCGAATGGTAAGCGTCCGAGGGGTAGACCGAAGCGAAGATGGGAAGATTGCATTAAAGCCGATCTGAAGGGACTGGGTTTGGACGGCGAACGGTGGAGGGAGGTGTGTAACAAGCGATTGGTGGTGTCGGCATCGAACCTTCGGGTTCGCTAAGCCTTATTATTATTATTATTATTTATATTTATCTATTTTATTTTTCTAATTTTTTTTTTATTTTTTATTATTTTTTTTACCATCACTACTTATGTTTCTCATACCTAGTTATCTGGTAATTTTCTTAGCCCTGATGAAGGCCTGAACTTCAGGTCGAAACATCGGCATATGTAAAAAAAAATAAATATTATCATTTATTTTTGCCTTCCTTTTTGACTGACCACCCCAACTATTCTTCTCTTCATTATCCATGACAGTCAACCAATTACTAATTATATATTTATTTTCATTTTGGCACAAAGTTCAGGCCTTCATCACGAAAAGTTTCCGCAAGACATAAAAGGTTTCCTCATTTGTGATGAAATGGCAAAAATCAAAATAAATATACTAATTTGTTTTAACCTTTAGTTTTTACTGATAACCACAACCATCCTTCTCTTCACTTTTTTTTTTTTTTTTTTATTGGACTAGAAACACCAAGTTTTTTTTTAGAAAACTATTCTTTTTTTTTTTAATTAGATATGTTATTATCTATTGCCATGTTAATTTTTTGTCATTTTCATTACTTTTTTACTTGACACTATGTGCATATAAAATTTATGTTAACTCATGCATATTTTCAAAAATATTATAAAAACTCCTAATAATTCAAATTTGTTTCTTTCCTCTTGATAATTCAAAGTCTCAATAATTCCAAATTTTCTTGTAGTCCATTGAAATTCGAATTATCGAAAGTTGACTGTATCTTTCTCTTTTTCCTGTTATTTGTTTTTGTATATATACACTACATATTCATTCCTAAATTTATACTATCTCTTTTCTTTTTTAATTATATTTTTAGGAAATATTTTATTTTCCATATTATTAGCCAATATATTTTCTTTTCTTAATAAAATATTCGTATTACTTTTAAAAGTCATTTTTATTTTTTAGTTGTCAATTTTTTTTTTTAATATTTGTAGTTTCTTAGTTTGTAGTAACTCACATAATTACTATTGTTCCTTTCCTTTCAAACTTTTACTGATCCTACTCCGCCATTATATGACTGATATCCTATAAACTTGGCACGTTATCTCCCAATCCCTCCCAGAACCCATTAATGAATTCCTTGACTATTTTCTCCATAACTTTTATCACATTATTGCTGTATCAGAAACCTGGCTCAATGACCACATGTTCCTTCCTCCTCATTATCCATCTCTAACTGTACCCTCATTTTTGATAATCAAATGGACCGAACAGGTTAAGGTGTTGGTCTTCATGTTCTTGAAAGTCTGAGAGTAAAAATCCTTCATAAATCTCTATCTGCCTAAATTCTCCACTTAAAATATCTATTCGTTGACATTTTCTCAGACCCATTTCCCCTTCTCTATGTCCTTAATATCTCCTCCTCAAGTCCGATTTGATCCTGCATTTGAATCCACTCTTTTAATCTATGCCCCTTTATACAATAATGCAATTATAACTGCCGACTTTAAAAACAATAAGTGCTCCAACAACTCATTCATTGTAGACCTTATCCACTCCCTTGATATTTTTATCGTCCCTTTTCAACCCACTAACCATACTCAGCTCTCAAGTACATGACTAGATCTTTTTGTAATAGATTCCTCTCTAAACTCATTATCCTCCACTCAGAATCCAGTATCCAATATCATTTTTTTTTTTATACACCCTATTAAATTGAAGATACTAATGAATTGTTTTATTAGTTCATCTTCAAAGTTCCCAGGCGTTCCCATGTCTCCTGCTGGTATGCTGAGTTGAATTGGATATATCCAGTTTTCTGACAAAAATATTTCTTAGGTTTATTCTTTTTCCGAATATTTACAACTAAAAAAACATTACAAAAATTATTACAAACAAAAAAACCCTCTTACCTTCTTGATTTGTTTACTTCTTGTTCCTCTGTCTATTCCTTCAAAATTAGATCCTAGCCCTCAAACCCTTAAAACTGCTTGTTTTGAAAAATCCTTTATAATCTGTGCTATCTTGTTTTGAAATTCCTTATCCACCTCATCTATAACTTCCTTTAAACACCAGTTGTTTTTCCATCTCCTCAGTTATTAATCTTCCCAATATATGTAAGAATTAAATATTCATATTATAATGCTGCCAATTTTATTTTATGGTCATTTTACTCTGATTGTTATATAAATAACTAGCTTTACCCGGCCACCCACTGCTGTGGCTTAGACTGGCAAAATGGAAAAGAAAGAAAATAGAAAGCACATATGAGTGGATTAATACCAAAGGACATATGTAATTTTTAAAAAGTTGGGAAACAAATTTGTCTGTAAAATGGCTTCAATTTAAACTAATCCTAATGTTTGTTTTTTTTTTCATGATTCAATTTGAACATTTGTAATCATCTGAGTGAATAAGCCTTTATTCTTAATCATCAGAAACAGTCTGAGTTGAACTTATAAAACTAAACTAAAATTGACTTTATCTTCACTTTCTGAAAATGACAGAAATCCGTCCTTTGATATCAAGCCATTCATATATTTTCATATTTAATTTAATTTTTATTTTTTTATATTTAATATATTGTTTAATGTTCAACTATGTGTTGATCATTTTATGGCAAGTAAAAATGTAAATGTTTGGTTGTTTAAAAAAAAAAAAAAACCTGTACCACTACAACCCATAAAGGGTCTGGGGTTCAGTACTATTTATGGAAAGCTTAGTTTTTAGAGTTTGGTTGTTTAAACTCTTAAATCTCAGGAAGTTCTTCACCCATTGCCTTGAAATTTTGGCTTAACGTTGCATTTAAATACATGCGTGGTTTAATATATCTACCATTTTAAAATATAAGGTGAAACTATACATATTTACTAAAAACGCACCATCAGTTGGATGTAAAAGCAACACATGCGATACTGTTTCAATGTTAAAGATTTTCAAATATAAATCGTGGAAATGCATTGAAATATACCATTTATCATCATAGCGTTCATTTCATGTGAATTAGAACTACCTTCCACCTTCCTCAAAAGATTTTGCATACCCCTCCGGAGATATTGATCTTGCTTCTTTTTAATAACAACATGATTAAATATAGAGTTGCGAAAATTGTAGTGGAAAAATAAACCATGCTCATCAAAGAAATCCTACGGTAAACAGCACAACCTTATTCCAACATAATGCTAGAGAAAGAATTTAGAAAAAATAAAATAAACTGAAATCAATAAAAACTGATTTCTAAAAGGAACATAAACGGTGATAAGTATTACTCAAGAGTTTAATATTTTTAAGTAATAGCCAATCAAATATTTGAAATGTATCATACTACTTCCAGAATACATTGGGAGGAAAATAAAAATGAATATAAATAGTACACAATAGTATTGACCTACATAAGGAGAATCATATCACTTCTTCATATGATAATTTCAATTACTGTAGTAATTATAAAATTTCCGATTAATCAATAACAAAAAAAAAAAAAAGGAATGGCCTTTTCTGAAGAGAAAGGAGTAAATATTTAAAACTCTATAACTCTGCAACAAATCGACTGATTTCAATGATTTTTTTTTATCAGCAAATCAGGAATCTTTCAAATAAATATGGGTATTATCATAAAAAATTGTGTACTTTTTTAGTTATCGGCAAATAAAATATTGAATTCATCGTAACATTTTTCAGCTTGTTTTCAGGAAAGTATGTTATACACATAAATTAGAAGGGTTTCAAGGGGAAGACTTTAGCCAAGTTTCGTTAAAATCGTTAAAGCCGTTTTGGCGCTACAGTTTATAGCGACACATTTTTTTGCGGCTTTGAACAGAAAAATATTTACATTTTTATTTTTTTTTACATATATAAAATTATCGTAAGACAGAAGTACTATGCCAGAAACCTTCCGAGGAGTGTACGGAACAACTTCCCAAAGTTTCATGGCGATTGCCTGAATGGTTTAGTAATGCATAGAGGGCAAACAGAAAGACATATATTCATTTATATATATATATATATATATAGACAACATATGCTTGCAACAGCAATATATGCTAATGTGTGCAAGTATGTAAAATGTCATTTATGGCTCTCTATGCTGATCTGGAAATAAAGAATATATAACAAAATAAAAGTAGGACCATCCTGCATAGAACCTTATTATTTCAGTTTCTTACTGCATTTACTTCAGAAACTAATTATTATCTAACTATAATCTCAGAGTTATAAGTTTCTATTGTAGTTGGTTTATTTTTAAGTGATTGCTAATTTTTTGTTGCAGTGCTAGATACAGTTTACAGACATATAATGCTTTGCTTGTTACAAGGTATTACTTGCAACACCTTGTTCATAAATTTCCTGAATGTGAAGTCATAAAACATATTGAAAGTCAAGGTAAGCCTGTGATATATGATATTTACATATTTTTGAGTCATTACCTCTTTTGTCCTAATAAATTTTTGTTTGTTTTTATTACCATTTTTATTAAAGTAGGAAATTCATAGAGAATTAAGCTGTCTTCTTTACTTTATTAAAATTTTAATGAGCAGATATTAATACTCTATGTTTTATTGATAATTTTTTCTTCCTAATTATTTACTCACTTTTTAGTATATTGTTCGATTTCGGTAATTTGGCGAAAGCCAAATATTACCCATAGATCTCATAAGTGTATTTTTTGGCTGGTTCGAGTTTGAATTTGGAGTGGACTGGATTTTATGGACTGGAGTATGAGTTGGATTTTCACTGAAATTAAACATTTGTGAAACAAAAAAAAAAAATTATATTTAAAATAGTGAATAAAAAAAAAAATAAAGATTTGTGCACTTAAATACATTTTTAAATAAACTAAATTATGAATAAATGAGAGACAAAAATACAATTTGGGTCTTATGGACTGCTTAATTGATGCCCTCTCTTCATCACTTCAGGTGGGAATTAGGGTGTGAATTTTATTGAGATTTTTTTACTCACTTGGTGTTGTGGATGATTATACTGTTACTGACCTCTCTTCTCCCATCCTTCCTCCGCCAGTTTGCTTGACTTAGTCTTTAAAACATCATGTTTAGTTCACAATCTATGGTTAAAATGTGTTACCCTTTTTCTGTCGCTTGACTAAGTAGGAAAGAATTGGAATATGGAAGCCAATTAAAACGTATGTTTTACTTTTTTGTATTTTGTGGTTCCGGGTTAGATTCATGAACACCTTTAAATATGATTATGGACAGATGAAGTTTCTGTGATTCATTCTTTTTTAGTTTAAACTCTTGACATTTAGCCTTTTATAATAAGGTCAAAAAAGGCCAAACCTCAGAATGGGGAAGATATAAAGCTGAAATTTTGTATGAATCTGTTGAGGTATATTGAGCAGAGCGTAACAGTTACCAGAAGACCTCGACAGTGCGTGTTCAGTATAGAGGGTAAAATGACTAAGTGAACGAAGGAAGATGAATAGAAGGATGACCTCAAGTGTCAGGCAGATCATCACCCAATCATTCTTGGTCTGCAGTGTAAGGAATCAACCTTAACACTCCGCGAGGATGGTAACCACAACCGGAGAGATCAATCTCCAGACTTGTGGGAGGATGAAATATTAACTGAGGGAACAATCCCCTGACTTAGTATATAGGACGGATCAGGGTCCAAACTTGCTTTGTGTAAGATAAAAGGATAATGAATAGTGTAAAATAAGAAGAGCAGATTGATGAGTTCAAAAAGTGTATATGACGCATATACTGATCATCTGCTTGGTGGTCTACACCCTGAAGGGGTGGAGATCCTAAGACCTAACTTTTCATCAGAAGGACTGCAGTAATCATTCCGCCAAGACTAAATCGGCTATCAAGAGCCGTTACAATTACAGTTATTTTTAAGCTTTGATCAGTATATGTTATCGCCATTAAACTTTATTAATACAAATTATTTAAAATGTATTAACATATTTCAATTTACTATTTGAGTATTTTATCATATAACAATAAGAAACAAAAATACAATTTTTAGGTGTATTGCTCTAGCGATCTTGTGTGGCGCTGCCAAGTAGTGGGTAGGTAAACAGTTGTCCCCTATAGTAAGTGGTGGGAATCAGTTGCCCCCACAAATCCTTATTTTGCCATTCTAAATGTTAGCTAAAAGTATATTTATGACCAAATAAAACCAGTTGTGACATTTTTTTCTGGTATAAAAAATGGTAACTAAACAAAACATAGTAGTATATAAAGTGTGATAATTCGTTTACTGATTTTATACCTTCACCTCCTCTAGTTAAAATTTTGTTCTGAAATAAATGACAATAATATTAATAATAAATATCATTAATTAACATTGCAATGAGTGCTATTTATCTGGCTCCTGTTTTTCATTGCTTATCACCCAATCACAGTATTATTTCTTGAAAACGGTTGATCATAAAGAAAATATGAATAACATCGAACTTGTTGAAAATTTTGTTTTCAATGTGTTATGTAATATCCTCTAACAACATAAGAAACATAGAAAATATTTACAAAAATACTATTTCGGTCCTTTTTTTTTTTTCAATCTTTAACCTTCAATAACTTATGATGTTGATACAAGATTATATGACCTTTTTTGGCCAACATTTAGGATGTTGAAATAAAGGTGCCTGCAAAATTTCAGCTTTTGAGGCTCCATAAAATGTTACCTAAACTTAGAAATTTGGTTAAGTGGTATGGTCGAAAACCATGGTCAAGCAAAGCTGATTTTTTACCAGATTTGTCAAATACTGAGACAAATTACTATAAATGGCTTTGGTGCTTGAAAACGAGTTCTCTAAGAGAAAAAAGTCATAAAATAAAAGTTGTAGGGCATTGCATTCATTGATATACATTTTTAATTGGGGTATTCATGCACTCATTTTAAATGCTTAATGTGCTAACCTGCTAAAGTGTTATTAGTTATAGCAAGGTTATGCCTGTACTCTAAACAAAGTTTATGAGTTCTTAATTGTTTTACTAACGTTTTGATTTATTTTTAAAATGCCAAAGCAAAGTGAAAAGACTAAGTTGCTGCATTATTTGGTTAAAAATGCTTAGTTAGAAAGCATGAATGAAGATTCAGAAACAAAGAACTTGATGAATAGCACGTGGACAATAATTATAGTGAAAATTAACACATTCACACCATATATACAGAAAATATAAAATTAACAAAAGTAAAATAATAAAAAAATTATGTACAATAAAAAATAAAATAACCTAAAGGTAAGTAAATTAAAAACATAAAAACTCAGTCATACGTATATACAATCAGGCAGGGAACCCCAAGCCAGGCATGTCCCTCCAATTATAGAGGGAAAAACAGGACTCCAAGAGATCTCTGCGCTACTCTCTCAACCACATCACTGGTGCTAAAGCCAGTGGAGATTGAGCAAGAGCGCTTTAGCCACATACACTCATATCTTGAGTGGAGAATCTGGCCATTGCCAGAACTCCAAGATATATACTACAAAAGATCTCTGGGTCACGGCCGCTTTAACCTTTGAGGAGGATTGGAGGCATGAGTGGAACTTGATAGAGGTTGTGCAAGCGGATTTGGATGATTTGTAAGGTCCTGATGTAATTTGGAAAAATTTTCAGAGATAAGGTCTAGAACAAATGGGATATTAAGGTCATGATATAGGGTTTTGTTAGTTACATAGAACTGGGCATCAACTATTGTTCGGAGGACTTCGGATTGAAAAGATTGGATGCATTTAATGTTAAAAAATTTAGCTGTCCCCGAAAGTTCAATTCCGTAGGTCCAAATATGTTTCGGGATGGTCTTATATATCAGTAATTTGTTGTCAATTGAAAGTTCAGATTTTCTAATCAGTAGTCTGTATAAGTTCTCGTCTTTTAAGTCTAGTAAATGGGTTCCACGTTAGTCTTCGGTCTAAGAGAAAGCCAATATACCGGACTGTATCTGAAAAAGGAAGCAGGATGGAATTAAAGTCTACTAGTGGACAGGATCTGCGCCGGAGTGTGAAGATAATGTATTTGCATTTGGATTTGTTTACTTTTATGCTCCATTTATTACACCAATGCTCAATGAAGGAGAGATGTCTTCGGAGATTTAAGGATGCTATTTCGGTATCTGAGTTGGATGATACTATGGCGATGTCATCAGCAATGGTTGTCAGGAAGGTTATTGGGATGGACAGGGATATCAGCAGTAAAAAGGATATAAAGGATGGGGCCCAAGACACTACCTTGAGGAACACGGGCTTCAGCTGAGTAGGAATCGGAAAATTCTGTACCACAGCTAACTCGAAAGGTGCGATCAGAGAGGTAAGAGTGGAGGATTAGGTACAAGGACTGAGATGGATGGGTTTTCAGCTTGGAAAGAAGCCCGGCGTGCCATACCTGGTCAAAAAACATTAGTTATTTCCATAAATGCACCCAAGTAATATTGCTTGCTTTCCAGTGTTGCGGAAATATGATCCACTACTCGGAGTCCTTGGACTGTGGAGTGCTGTGGATGAAATCCGAACGGATGGGAAGGGAAATTTTGGGATTCTATAAAGGGTAGGATTCATTTCAGGGGGATCTTTTCAAAGATTTTTGAGAGGATTGGAAGTAGGCTAATTAGTCTGTAGGACGTCGAGATGTTTGGAACTTAGCCTGCTTTTGGAAATAGGATAATAGTGGAATGTTTCCACAAAAAGAGTGGTTCTTAGGATGGAATTGTATAAGAATGTAAGAAATATAACAGCTTTAGGAGGAAGTTGATAGAGGATTTAAGAGATAAGGAGGTCATATTCAGGAGATTTACGAAAAGGAAGTTTTTGTAGGTGATGTTTGACTTCAGAAGGATTAACTGCTTTAGAAGGTAAGGAAAGTGAAATGGGTGATGTGAGGAATTCTTCTAATGTTGTAGTATGGGTGTGGTTGGATTCCGGATGAGAGGTGAATATTCTGCAGAGGTGTCTGACTAATTCCTCAGCTTTGTATTCATCAGATACTGCTCAGGAGCCGTCACATTGATGGAGGGGATGGGAAATATGATGAGATTTTAGGATTTTGTTGTTGATCTTTCACAGGGAATTGTCATGAACAGAGAGGTAAGTAAGGTAGGACTTAAAGGATTGGGATTTGAAGTTGGCCAATTCCTGTTTTAATTGTTTATTGTAATAATTATAAGAGCAACGATTGGTGGGTTGTCTTGAGCGTTGCCATAATATTCTGGCACGGCATTTGAGGTGAATTAGGTAAGATTTGATGAAAGAGTTTCCAGTTAACTGGGCCTCTGATGAAGGACGGTGGAGGGGGTTTAAGAATAGAGCTATTGATAATTGAAGTATTAATGGACTATGATCTGAGGAAAGTTTGTCAAGACGGGCAAGGGAATGATTGAGGGGACTTAAACCATTGTGGATGAAAAAAATCATGGATGTCAGGATTCCGGTTAGGATCAGTGGGCCAGTAGGTAGGTGAGTTGGGTGGAAGGAGGCTGAACATTGAGTGTAGGCAGCAATGTTCTGTCATGAGAATTCATGGTTCTTGAATCCCATTCTTGATGCTTGGCATTTAAGTCTGCATTCAGGATGAAGTGATGACCTAAGGAGATGCCGTACATTCCTTTACCACCACTATTCAACAAGCAATCTGGACTGCTTCCTTCCCAAATCTCTCCTAAAAAAATCCTAAGAAAAATAATTTACCTCAATACCTGATAGACCTAATTTACATCAACGCTCAAGACACCCTACCGATTGTTGCTTCTATAATTATTACAATAAATGATTAAAACAGAAATTGGCCACCTTCAAAAACCAATCCTTCAACTCCTACCTTACTTCCCTCTCTGTTCATGACAATTCCTTATGGAAGATCACCAACAAATTCCTAAAATCCCATCATATTTCCCATCCCCTCCATCGATGCAATGGCTCCTGGGCAGCGTCTGATGAAGAAAAAGCTGAGGAATTTTACTGGACACCTCTCCAGAAAATTCACCTCTCATCCGGAATCCAACCACACCCATACCACAATATTTCTCCCTTCATACGTTTAATTTGGTGGTCCCTTGTTACGTACTCACCCCTTTACATGTTTGTCCTTGGTCGGGACAAGTGTAAAGTTAACTATCCTTGCACAGTCTAAGGATGGTCTCCTTAGCTTGCTGATCCCTGGATGTTATAGGGGTGCTCTCCCTATCATTCTTGGCGGTCTTACCCTACCCCCTTCTCCCGTTCATCCTATCTAAATCCTTTCCATTCTTTAAATAGGTGTGAACAGATATAGTAAGAGAGATAGTTTAGAGTCAGAGACAATACAGACAGTAGTAGCAGACAGAGAGATTAGATAACATTTAAAAAGTACAGATCAAGTAAGAAAATTAAATAAATTCCTTTTAAAAAATATTACAACACTTTCGTAATTTACATTCGAACATTCACCTGTGATGAGTACCCTTTTCAGATCCTGGCTCTAGGGCTATTTGAAATTGGGTTTAGTGTTGCCACTAGATCCATAAAACATATAATGGGCTTTAAACCGATTAATATTTGTATATGTCTGATTAGAATTAAAAATGGGACCAATAATGCAGTCTTCTATTCAACAAGTCCCCCCCTTCGGTACTACTTGTAATATCAGAAATGGGAATTGTAAGTAATTCTCAATTATTAAGAAATGTAGATGATGACATCCAGCTACCCTTTGGAATGTTGTGCAAGACAAAATCTAAAATCTGATAAAATATATGTAGTTCCTGGATTAGATGAGATTCCTATATAGTTCTTTAAACCAGAAAATCTGGATAACAATGAAGCTAATTGGCAAGTCAAAAAAAGCTTCATTTATAAAAAAGGATATCTCTTGAACTCTCCTTTTGCAATTCTCACTGATAATCAGTGCCCAAAAATTCATGTTGAATGTTTTACTTAAGATGCTGTTATTCCATGTTATAAGGGTCCTGGGAAAATATCAATGTGGCTTATGAACAGGTAAATCCTCGATAAATCAAATACCCACTCGCTCATTAATGAAATTCATTCATCCTCTTCCCTTCTCCCTCTCTCTCATAAACAATATTTCTACTAATCGCAATAAAATTTTACATGTTTTAAATTAATTTATTTCATTACAGGATCCATGAATAGAGATGCATTTAAGGCTGAATCACTGAACTTACAACTTATAAATGGTCTGATGAACATTTTAATAGCATTACCAATTTTGTAAGTTTATTTATTTTTGAAATTTAGTTTTAAAAAAATACATGCTGATGACACATGTATCCTTTCAGTTAATAATGATCCATCAATAGCATCCCAAACTCTGCAATCACACATCACAAACCTTGAAGAATGGTGTCAAAAATGGAGGATTAAAATAAATTCCAATAAATCCCATCACCTTTACCATTCATTGTAAATCTATGACTTTTTGTCCTACAGTATCCTTTAATTACACCCCCCTTATCCCTGTTGAACAAATCCGATACCTAGGACTCCACCTAGACAAACGTCTCATTAAAAGTAAACAAACATAATCTATAATTTGAATTGTTATTATTTTGTTATTACCTATAAGGATTAGTAGGTTGAAATCTCAAGATAAGTGTTTTTGGCAAATTTTTTATGTTCATAAATAATTCAAGTTATACTCTTGGTAAAAATCAAGGAAAGCAGTTTCATTTTGTCCTTTGCAGTAATAACTTTCATACTTAAATAATTGTTTGCATAAATATTTTACTTTCCTACTACTATAGGATGTCCACATTGTGTTCTAAAGTGGTTTAGAAAGTATATTTTTCCTCTGCATCCGATTGATCAGTGATGGTCTCAATACTTAAGAGGCTAAGTTTCTGTAACTCTTATAAGTTTCTGTGACTCTTATAAGAGTCCAGTTGACGTAAATTTCCCTGTCCGTATAGGAATAACATGTTAGGTGAGCGTAAATTCTTTTCTGGTTAATCAGTTCAGCTTTTTGTTTTGAAAGTTTCATGATATGATGGTTTAAAGGAAGTAGGTCCTAGCCTACTGCCCTCTGTCGGGTGGAGGCTGTCTCCTCACTTTAACTTGCTCTTCCATCCGATAAATTAAAAAATCCTTTATTTAAGTAACTAACAATTTCTTTAAAGTAAACTAGACAAAATTTACTTCAAATGAAAATTGAGTTTGTCTTTGCTAAAACCATTTAAAGAGGATTTGGGATGTATAATAATAAATATAAATGAATAACCACACTGTTTATTCTAAAAAATAAATGTTTCAAATCATTTTTTTTTATTATTCATCATTTAAAGTGCTACAGGAAATGTCTTTTTATTAAGACCTCTATATTCTTCTCTATTGGCAATTGATCTGTATTTATAAATGACAAAATAAATTTTTCTACACCTAAAATTTATGTTTAAAATTAATAAAAAATAAACCTGCTGATTGCTTCAATTATTTTCATGAAAACATAAATATTAGGGTCAGGAACATTTAGTTTGTCACTTATAAATACGCATCAGTTACTGTAATAGAGATCTGGATGAAAAATATAGTTTCATTATCACTTTACATGAAAAATCATTATTTTTAATTATTTTTTTTATAAATAAAAAGTGTATTTAGGCAGTTCAGTTTATTATAACACATCTCAGATCTTAGAAGAATAATAAATAAAAACTTTGCAACAATTTATTGTTGTCATTTTTGCTGAAAACACAGGTACCTTTAGGTGGCAGAACATAAAATCACATAATTTTTATAAACAACTTGAGGCGAATCTCAATTTTTTCTCAAATAAATGTCAACTTAATTTATACGGACTTAAAACTTATTACACGAGGAAGTTTTTCCAAATGTGGAGTATCTGTAGTATAGTTGGAGGATGATAAACAAAAAAATTGAGTAATATATGATTTTAAAAACAGAACATAGCTTAGTTTAGTCTCCTTAAAAGTCCTCTTTAAATAATTTTAACGATGGCAAAATCTATTTCTACTTGAAGTAAATGTTATTTGGTTTACTATGAAGAAATTGATAATTACTTAAATTATGTATTTTTTCAGTTATCGCTTACTACTCAACAAAAAAGGTGACACCAAATATAACACAAAACTTAAATTTCCTGCTTTTCAGCTGTAAATTAGGCCATTATATGTAGTAATCCTTAATGTCTAATAGTGCCAATTGAAAATAAATTGGCATTTTTCACTGCAGAATGAACTATATTCAATAGGTAACACAAAAAGGCTCTGTGGCCAAATGCACACAGGCTCCTAGTAATAAATACATAAACTCACTAATCTCCTTTGGTGTGGCCTTACCATCATGTAAGAGCATATGGTGGCCAAACGTGTTAGAGTAGCAACTCTACAAGTGCTGGTTTGATTCAAATTTATTAGAATCATTTTTTTTTTTATATTGGATTAATTGAATTAATCTCAACTTTCCCATCCTTAACTTGATAGGTAATAGGTAAAATAATTGTCTGCCCTAGTTGGAGTACAAATCAGTGTTAAACCAAATAAACAAACCACAACCACCTGTTTAATCTCTAATCATTATATTTAAATATCAGTTGGTATTATTTGAATCTATTTAATACAAAAATATCATTTAAATTCCTTTTGGTTTCAGTAATGACACTTATCCTGTTCATCGTGAATCCATCAATGTTTTTCTGGTTTTGTTGTCAATTGAATTATTTACAACTGAGTCCATAACTGAACTTAAATTATACAATATCATTTTTGAATCCTGTAAATCAAGAGATCTAGGGTTGGCATTAATCACAACATTTTCAAATCAACAAAAGGGTTTATCTCATCAAGGCAGTTCCTTCTTTGGACTAGGTAAATGGCTAATTATATTTTTATTAATCTATGCATGCATTTTTATTAAAGCTTATACAAACATTTAATCAAATTTTTGAAAAGGAGTTGAAACCACTAATAAATGAAAGAAATTATTAAAGGACATAAACAAACATATTTGTTGCCATGAGATGAAGAGAAAACAGCTGATCTTCTTGTAGACAAAGAATAGATACATAAAACATCTGAGTTTGAGGCCCTATAAGCAGAGCACCAATTGGTAATTCCTTTGGCAAGATCAAAAGATAGAGATAAAAATAATTACATATAGGTAATAGATTTCTTTACAGCCTCGGTTAGTTATAAAATAGTTTTAAATGGTAGTTTAGTTAAGAGCATTGAGAAATAAATGGCCATACTCACAAAAGATGTGGGGAAAAAAAAAAAACGGCATGATCAAGTTTTATAGTAACAGAGGTCTCTAAAATATCATACAGCACCAATCACAGAAAACATCTAGGTTTATACCAATTGTAGGTGTTAACTATCATGCTAAAAATTTTTCAAGTCAAACAACAATTTTTATTTCACACTTAACCTTTCAAAGCCAAATGTATCCCTTTCCATTTCAAATGCAATAGTGGATATGTTGAGGACTCTCATTTGACAAGCAGGTGACGAAGGCCACTATGAATTAGCCTGATGAAGGTCTGATTAAAGACTGAAACTGTTTGCGCAAAAGGAAAAAACAAAAAATTATACAGGAAGACAATGTCTTTTTTATTGAATTTAAATTTCCATTCTGTGAAATCAAGCCTCTATTCAAGAATTAATTATAAGTATTTGTGAATAGTGAAGAGATTTGTTTATTTATTTATTTGATGTTTTGTTGCCTCTACCCTGTAGGGTCATTGGCAACACCTTTAAATTACACTCTGTTGTAGAGTTTTATCATTTTTAAAAACCTTAAAAGTTTTTTTTACTGCACTTTTACTGTCTTGTAGATTTTCTTTTAGACTCTGTCCCATGTCTAACTTTTTCCTTGTAGGTTCAAATGTAGGGCAGTCTTGAATAATATGCTTTACTGTCCTTTGGACATTGCAGCTCTTACAGGTCGGAGGATCAAGTCCTCTTAGTAGGTAGGAGTGCGAGAACTCATAATGTCCAATTCGTAATCTGCTGAGGGCTATCTCCTCTTTTCAAGATGATCGGTGAGAGGTTTCCCATTTTAAACAGTGGGTTTTAATTTCCTTTAATTTCGATTCTGTTTGTTCCCACTTGTTTTGTCACATGTTCCATACATTCTCCTTAATTTTTTTTAAGTAATCCTCTAGAGGGATTTCATTAATTGATTCCACGGATGTTTTATCTGGCTTTCTTGCCATGTTGGCTGCTTGATCGGCTTGTTCATTACCGATGATCCTGCAGTGCGAAGGGACCCAAATGAACACTACTTCTTTGCCCTTCTTCCTTAGTAGTCACCAAACGTTTCTTACATCTTTTGAGAGAGTGGTTTTGGGTCTGGTATGTTCAATAGCTAGTAATGAGTCTGTCACCACTGCCCAATTGGTAGTTTCATTTGTCTTTATGTGTTTAAGAGCTTCTCTAATTGCTAGCATTTCACCAGTAAACACTGAACAAGCCTTCGAGATTTTGAATAGTTTTTGAGTATTAGAATTTATAACGGAACATCCTACTTCCTTATCTACTTTTGAGGCATCCATATACAAGATGTGACACTCCTTATATTTTTTCAAATTTTCTAAAAATAATAATAACTTCAACTAGAAGTGCCATATCCTTTTTATGTCTGGTAATTGAGGTATCTATAGTTGGTTTGACTGGGAATTATTATATCCGCCACATCCAGAGCATTTTCAATGTTTAGATCCGAAAAATGATCAAGAGTGTTTCTATAAAGTTAGTTTGTTCAAGTCTTGTTATGATTATTGGAATGTTAATATTTTGAGGAAACATTTTGATTGTTTTCTATTCTATGTGTTTAATATATTATGTTTTGTGTTTTAATTATGTTTGTTGTTTTGTTCTGTAGTTTTGTAATTTTTACGGTTTTGGATTTATATATTAGTACCATTATTACATTTTGTTGCCTTCATCAATTAAGATAACTTTATATGTAGTCTTATTACTATATTATTGTCAACATCATCATCATCCCGAGCTCAACAATCCATTACTGGATCTTGGCTGCCTCAAGAGATTTTCTCCAGGTTTCCCTGTACTTAGCAACCGTCCACCAGTTCCTGATTCCAAGGATTCTGCCATCAGCACTTACTCCATCTTTCCATCTTAGTTTTGGTCTGCCTACTTTTCTTTTTCCACCCGGCTCCATGCTGAGCAGCTTCTTTGGAGTTGAGGTCTCGTCCATATCTGCAATGTGGCCCGCTCATCTCAGGCTTGCTGATATTATTCCGGATATATTTCACCACATCCGGCTCCTTGTATAAGGTGGCTAGTTCTTGATTGCACAACATATTATTGTGTCATTATAAATTATTAAAATATTGTGACTTGTTTCTTTAATATTCACCCTTAACAAATGTTTTGATTTACTTGAGGAATAAAAGGATTAAAAAAATATTTAGAGCTTTATTAATACATATCTTATTTTAATTATCAAATCTAGCTTTTTATCATTATTACTAAAAATTTTAAGTGTTCTTCCCTTTTAACTTCTAGTTTTTGAATAAATAAATAAAAATATTCTTGGAAGACTGATAGATTCGAGGGTTAACATTTTACAGGCTTGGCTTGGGTTCACACGAACTTATTCTTAGACTAAGATTACAATAGTGAGAAAGTCTTATAATTTTATAAGGAATGAGGGAAAATATAAGGTATAAGTTACATATATTGCACCCAAGCAGTCTCCATACCCAATCAACCACTATCTGCCTACCTTCCTTTATCCTCCCGAGTTGCCCAGGGTTCAAGCATATCTCCTCTCCTTTTCAGCTCCTACATTAACGACCTTCATAATTCAATTCTCCATTGTTCCCACCACCTTTATGCAGATGATTCCCAGATCTACTTATCCTTTTCTCCCTCTGAGTTATTGGTAGCATTTGCCAAGATTCAAGAAGACCTTGATCGAATCAGTGCCTGGGCAAATGTAAATGGATTAAAGTTAAATGCTGCCAAAACTCAGGCCATTGTCATTGGTTCCAAGCCCCTTATTAGATCCCATACTGACTTTCCCATATTACACCTTAATGACCAGCCAATTTCCTTCTACTCCTCTGTTAAAAATTTAGGATTTTTCATAGATCAAACCCTCTCCTGGAACTACCATATTTCTCACATTTCCCGTAGGACAATTTCTACCTTTAAACTATTTCATTGCTTCTGCCATCTCCTACCTCAACATACCCGTAGACCTAATTTCCTCTCTCATCTTCCCCCACTTTGACTACAGCTGTGTGGTGTATGATGGCCTCTCGGTGGAGCTCCGTGATAGACTGAAAAGATTAATGAATAGCTGCGTAAGATATGTTATCGGTGCCCCGAGGTACTCCCATGTCTCTCACCACTACACTGAGCTAAGGTGGCTCTTCCCCTCCTTTAGAAGACAATATTCCCTAGGTACGTTCCTCTATCAAATCATTAACAACCATCGACCTTCTGACCTCTACATCCCTTCGCACAGATCTGCCTCATTTCAGAATTCCTTTATAGCTCGCGCTGTCAATTTTTGGAATTCTCTACCTATCAAAATTCGGCATTCCCCCTCCATGTCCACATTCAAATCCCTCCTATTCCAATTCCTATCCCAAAAACAGTCAGATACTTGCTAAACTTTTGATATTATACATTTCTAGTCATCATCAAACAATAGTGCTATTCTATACTGTGAACTTCACTAGGGATATTACAATATCTTCCGGCTCTTAATGCCACTGATCGCATCTATTGTTTTGTTTTTTTTTTGTTTCTTTTTATTATTATTTTTTATTGGTATATAATTAAATCTGTACTTCTAGCATTTGACAATGATGATTCTACATATTAATGATTATTTAAAGACACTGATATTTTATATTGTCAGCTTTGTCTTTTCTTTGTTAGCAGAAACACACCTCATTTTAAAGAAGAACTCAATGTATTTTTTATTTTTCAAAAGAGTATAATTATAATTTTTCCTACTGTACATAATCTTAAGTGTTTTATCATAATTTTAAGTGTTTTGTATATAGATTTTTTTTTTTTTGTATATAGCTTGTTTAATTAATATTTTCTTTACTTTCTCTTTTTTATTGTTGTTTTATTTTGGCCAGATGTAGTATTTTAATTATGTTCTATTTTGTTATTCTAAAGGGACTTTGTCCCAGAATAAAGTTATTTTCTATTTCTATTTCTATATTCTTAATTATATGTTATATTTTCCTTCATTCCTTATAAAAGACTTTCTCTCCATTGCAATCTTAATTCTAAGAATCAGCTCGTGTGAACACAAGCTGGATATATATAAATATATATATTTATATCTATTATATAAAAAGTTTTTAGTGACCGATGGTTTATTTTAAATATGCAAAGCGGAACGGACCATAACAAAGACACCACACATCTTATTCCTAGAATTATTTCTCCCTTATTATGGTTACAAATTGGCAATAAGAATAATCATAATTATATAATAATATAAATTGTCAATAAGGTGCATTGTATAATATAGACTTTTAAATCAATTAAAAATGTGTCCTAACTGGATTTAAGGCAGTGTCGAGATAAAATAATCTCTTTGACTCAGTACACCATGAGAGCTAAGAATTTATTGTTACAACAAATTTAACACACTAATCAAAGAATATAAACAAACAATTTAAAAAACAAATATTTAAATCACATACTATATACATCATTTACAATAAAAGCAGACTAATGTAACAATGTAGACTATTTACAAACAAATATTCTGTTTATCTTCCATGCTGCATCTACACTGTTACCTCCACACACAGTCTTCTCGCCTTAGCAGTGTTGCCCCTAGACAGTGTTGCTATGATACAAAATTCATT